CAATAGAAAAAAATATAAACAAATATTATAATAAAACAATAACAATAAAAATAATAATAAAACAACAAAAATAATAATAAAACAACAAAAATAATAATAAAATAACAACAATAAAAATAATAAAAAAATAACAATAGCAGTAAAAAAAATAATATTAATGACAATAAAAACTAATAAAAAAATAATAATAATACTGACAATATTAATATCAATAATAATAATAACAATAATAATAATAATAATAATAATAATAATAATAATAATAATAATAATAATAATAACAATAACAAAAACAACAAAAAATAATAACTACTAATAATAAAAACAATAATAATATTATCATCATCAATATAAAGACCATTACTAATTTTCAATTTTCTACATACTCGCCAAGAGAGATGTTAGTACTCCAATTGCCTTTTTCATGAAGTTGTGAAGTGGCACATCACAAATCATTACTGCAAATAGATCCAACACTTAATTGTATCTTCTTTGATTTTCATTGGAACACCAGAGATAAATTTGACTTAACATCAAAGCATTACAAATCTTGTTTTTTCAGCAACACATGGTATTTTGCTGGTACATTTTATTGCTGAAGTTTTGTCCATCGCAAAAGTAGGAAACCCCTGTGGATCACACCGTAACTCTCCAATTTCTTGCCCCCTCACTTTAAGTGTTTAAGTGTTCAAACTTTCCTTTGCTGTCGTCCCTCTTCCCATTTACCAACCTGAATCACATACAAGTATAAAGATTATGTTAAATAACAAAATCTGGATAGTTTGTTACATTATAATTTCCATGAATTTTGAACTCTTACTATTACTATTGTATATCATGACAAATTATGTTATACACACCACTGGATATAACAAGCAATTAAGTATTTTTGAGGTTGAGGTGGTAGGTGAAGACAAAGTGTGTCGACACAGTTGTTGAATACATTGCAAAATAAGCTCTGTATGTCATTATCACACGAGCTAGAAAGTATCTGGAACTGAAGTCATAGGGGTGGTGATGACACAGCCAGTGCTGGTGAGAGCATTTACACATAAGCTGTTTTTTCCACTGGTTAATCTTTATAATATGGATGTATTAAATTTGGGCAAATTGAATATGGTATTCTTGCAGAGGACAAAAGTTGCAGTTGGCAGCACTAGAAATAATCTGAAAATGCAAATGGTAATGCCACAAATAAAGGAAAAACATCGCAGAAAGTGTCGCTCTCACCCTAAACCTACTCAGTGCTTCCGAGTTTCAGCTCTATCTTGCCGTGCATACCAAAGTGAAGACAGTGTTTCTCAGAGGGTGATGGGGGGCAGATCCCCCATCAATCCTCCCTTCGGCCAGCAAGACCGAGGGGAGAGTTGATCAGCAACTTGATGAATACATTTTTGACGTGGTGTTGAGGACTTTGTCTCTGGCAAGTTCATCCACACTATAAAGAATTACCTTTCTACTACCAATTAACATGGCCATTCCTAGCAAAGGGGTTATTACCTGTTCCAATTATAATGAACGCTCCATCATCAGGCTTGTTTGTTATCATACTTCCAAGAGTTTCTTTTTGTCTTTTAGAATATTAATCTGTTCAATGTGTTATATTAGCCACAAGGCTTGCATGTGGACCAAAATCCAAGCATTGGGCTTCCTTAACCCACTAACAACGGGTGTCCCACATATGAGACACCCGAAAAAATATTGCCAGGTGTCTCGCTACTGTGACACTGTATCAGGGCTCGCGCTCCGACGCAACAGCGTCTTTTATTTTCGGTTTCAAAATACATACCGACGTCAATGGGTTAAGTGGCATCTTTCCCATGTGTGTGAATTATTGGTCTATGCCACATGAATCCTTATAAGCAAACTCTATACTCTCTCTCCAGGTAGCTTACACTTTATAAAATAACAATAAAAAAGTCAATCTCCTACAAAGTTCTTTATGAACCCCTAACATGACATTACTATCTTAGGCCACTTAGCAACAATATCCCATAACAAGACATTCCAATCACCTACACCTTGGCCAATTTTCTTACTCCTATAACCCAGCCTACAGCCAACTTTTTTCATAAGATGATGTCCATGTCACATGGATCCAAAGGGTTGATAGGATGTAACAGATACAACTAAAGTGCACACAATTTGACAGGTCAGAACATGTACCTGCACACGCACACGCACACACACTGTTCCTTAGGAAAGGCATTTGCGGTTAATCTTTACGGTGTGGACGCACTAAGGTAAGGGAAACTGAAGATGATATTCTTGTAGAGGACAAAAAGTTGTAGTTGTCAGAACAAAGAAATAATCTGCAGACATGCAAATGGGGGCAGAGCTCCCAATCAACTCTCTCCTCAAGCAGTGACTGAAGGTCATGCCCAATCACAGGAACTCAGATTGTTGAATTAATTTTGTGACATGGAGGAGTTGGGGACTTCAGTCTCTGGAAAGTGTGTCCATCCTGTAAAGAATTGCCACATTTGCAAAACTAAACCATGGTTCTCCTGATTTGCAATTGCTAAAAGCATCACTGGATTGTTGTCCTAGGAAGGTTTACTGTTGAAGACAAGTTTTAAACTGGCCTGAAAATGAAGTTTTACTGTACCAAGTACAGTATGCTTAAAAAATAAATAAATAAAAGGAAAGAAAAATCTGAAAGTTATGAATTCAAAAGGCCCAAGATCAGGATTAAAATTAGGAGATGCAAATGTACTTGGAGTGAAACATTAGATAATCTTAAATCATAATGCAACTAAAAGGTACTGATGTAATGAATGAAGAATAAGAGGCTTCAACTGTGTGAAACAATTTAGCAACACTGTCTTTCACATCCTCTACCTTCACACTCCACCCTCTAGTGCTACCCTTAAAAATGTAAATCTAATCTTTCCAAAGTCCAAAACAGACCTTACAATCTGTGTAATGTCCTGGTTCACAGTACAAAACCTGAATTTCCTTTAACATCATCATGTAATACTTATTTTTGGCAATAGTTTAGGTGCAAATATGGAAAAAAATCATATATAATCAAATATATGGCAAATCAAATACATCATATTAAGTTGTATATGCATTTTGATAGAACACAAGGCATAATTTTAGCCTAAGCATTTATGTGTGTATTAGATTTCCCTTGTATTATCTTTAAAAAAGGAAATGAAAATCACCTTGTCTTGTAAAACATATCTAAATATGTGTGAAAATTAGAATGTCTATATACCAAAGTATTCAACTTGACCTAAATATGCCTTGCAAAAAATACCACTACATACATGATAAAACACATCAATTTCTACTTATGGTTCTTGTAACACTTGTATGGATATTCATATATATGCATACAAATACACATGTGTAATATATAGAACTATCTACTTGATTCATCAAATAACACAAAAATACTATTACTTGAGACATATATAGCTTTTGATTGTTGATTTATGCTCAGTGTGTAGAGTAGATCAGCTCACGGTTAAAGTTATGGAGAGCGACGCAAAGAGATTGAAAGAAATGGACAACACCATCTTATAGAGCATAAGAAATAGTCATAAACAACACAGGTACAGCTGCTGCAACCTCATATTTACCGGTAAATGCCAAAAATATCCGCTGCATATCATCGCTCAAAAACTAAAAGCGTTTTAAGTAGGGGAGCGCTTGAGCAAGAATTCTTGCCGATAGGCCAAGCGCTGTACCGTTCCCTGCTTAAAACGCTTTCCAAGGCAGGCAGGCCCTGTTCAGTGATACCAGACATGTGGAAGTGTCTTTTTTATAAAGTACAAATCATGACAGTCCTTGATGAGCATAGAAATATCAAAATAACACATAAAATATACATACTTGGGTTTTAAAACCAATATTCCCACTACACTCTCGGAAAGAGAGAACCTATGCACAAGTCGAGGGTGGAGTTTATTTCACTGGTGGCTGGTAACAGTTTGAGCGCGCAATTCAAAACAATTGACAAGCTGGCGCCGCATCAAGATGGCAGAGTAAATCTACCCAAACATCTTAACAAAGTGCAATATTTTCTCCTATATTCATATAAAGTGCCTTTAAAACAATGACACACACTTCCGATTGACAGACCTTTCATTCTGCGGCGTTATCAAAACAAATGAACATCCCTGAATTAAAATATAGGCCTACCCATTCCCATATATCCGAATTTATGAGGTTAAATATGACAAATCATCGAATACAATATGAACAGAAGAATGTTGCTAGAATTTCTCAGACTTTTTTCACTTGAAAAATTCTTTATTTCATAGAATAGCAGATATATTCTTGATTTAGAGAGACGAGGAGTTTAACAATAAGAAGTAAATTGTCCATCTTATAATAATTTATCATTTATAAGTAAAACACTTTCTATTCCCATAATCTCCATTATCTCCTTTCGTTTTCAGTTAATTTCAATTTCTCTGAATATGATTTATTAGAAAATTACAGAATCAGATACCGTGAAAAAATTATTTATCTGATAAGATATTAAGCGGAGTTCCTGGCCAATGCTCGCATTCGAAGGATCGTGACCAGTACGGTACGCGACCAACGCCGTTGCCATGGTGACAGTACACCACTTGACTTAGCAAGCGCAAGTCTAGCCATCTACAGAGGTCGCTTGAGAAAGCAAGAAAAACACTTGAGATATCAGGCAAGAACTTTGACTGCTTAAAATGCCTCAAGTCCACAATAGTCTCACACAGCCTTCTTAATAACTTCTTAATGTTGCATTTTCTATAAGCTGAGACAAAGTGCTAAAAAGGGAGGTATAAGGGAGCTTGCTTCTATCTAAGGTATAAATAGGCACTAAGAAAGATTAGATTTGGATTTTTGGGTTTGCATGATACCTTGGTTTGAGGACTTCACCTCTGGAGTGTGTCGTTCTTGTTAAAAAAGACCCAAGATGGTTCAAGGGGCAGGACAGGGAGAGTAACTTCATGGAACAAAGCATTTCTTATTAGGAATCGTGAACTGGGAGAAGCTCCCTTAATCTTTCCATAATAATATGTACATAAGCTCTACAAAGTCACAATCGATGAAGATGTGCTATGCTAGCCGTTGCTTGAGCACCCTACAGCATGGGTTATAAGCCTTTTCTCATAACACTAAAACCATTAATTGAATATCAAATTATCCTCATTGGCGCATTTCATACATCAATTTCAATATTCCCTTGTATATTTCACGCCATTCCTTGCTACCGGAGTCGATTCTTCAGAAGGGAAACTTCCTCCACCTCACCAAGGGCCAGGATCGGCGACGCGCAACCTTTATATAGCATTATCTTCCTTCTTTTCAAACGTATCTAAAGCGATGAAAGGTCTCGAATTGTCATGAACAGTTCCTGAAATTTTCTGAGAGTTTTTAAGCAATTTCGTCAAACAACCGGTTTATATAACTCTTTTGAGTAATTTTTACTGCATCCCGGTATACAAAAAAGAGAAAACTTTCGGAGACAATTGTATTAAATTACGTCTCGTAATTCAAATAACAACACAAATCATCAACGCAAATCGGTAGAAGAGTTTCCGAAACACTAACACGAGAAGAATTGTAAGCTAATAATACGACTATACAAAACACCGAAATATAAACGAAACTCACCATCAGTAAACTTTGTCTTGATCGGCCTTATTTCTTTGCCACCTTTCTCCTTCTCTTTTTCTTTATCCTTATCTTTCTCCTTCTCCTTCTCCATTTTACCTTGAGGAATCCCTACAGAGGTTTAAGAAACCAAATTTAATTATGACATCAAACGCATTTGGAAAAGAAATACCACACTACCACTTTCGAGGTTGAAGCCAGACTGGCGCGTCCTGCGAGTGTGGACTCGAACGTTCACGCTAGCTCACTTCTCCGGATGAAACCATTATTCGCACAATTTAGTTCTTTATTCGCACAGCGCTATAAAACTCAAATTTCTTTCTTTTCGAGTCCCCGAGCAATGCCATCATTAGTTTTTTTTTTAGAAATTCCTTATTCATACCTAATTCTTTAATCATATGCAAAAATATATCGTTTCTAGCGTCCTCGAGGTCCTGGATAAAATTAATTTTGCAGCTGAATTCTTCTTGAATCCTTATCCGCACAGTAACATTACCTAAACACAATTTTTGTATTCTGTGTCGGATTCAGTTATTAGTGGGCTAGCAGAGAGATGAAGAAATTTTATATCTTATGGTCATGGGTGGTACAGGAAGGATGATTTGGTATCTCCAGTAGCTAAAAAAAAAAAAAAAAAAAAAAAATGTAATAATAATATATAAATAAATAAAACTATTTTGTGTTTGCACAACTGAAGGGAAGGGTTTACCCGGGGTATGGAAAAACGAAAAATATATTTTTAAATGTTTTATCGGCAAGATTCCTTTACAAGGCATAGAAGTTTAAAAGTAGATTTTGTATATATAAAGATACAACATATTTTTGTTTAACAACACTTCTTGCACATCCTCCATAATGCATTTATCGCGACTCAAATGATCCCTCTTCAATGTGTATGGATGCTAGGTGAGTGCTGCAATTTCAGAAACAATTGTGTAGTCATGTATCAATGTTACATGGAAGTAACCAGTACAATTACAGGACTGTGGTGCGCAGTGGTTTCCCGAAGATGGCGCCGATCTTGGCTTTAAATTTTGCCGTCCGAAAACATAGGTTGCTCGATCCAGTTTTATTGAGAAAAGTGATGAATACGCGTGCGCGCACACATACGCTCAAACGCACACAAACACCAACCCCGCGCACACACACTCAAACGCGCGCGCACGCGCGCACACACGCGCACGCGCGCACACACACACACACACACACACACACACACACACACACACACACACACACACACACACAACACACACACACACACACACACACTTTTCCAAAGAAACATTATCCACACATACATGCGCTTGTACAACTGAGGACTGAAATCTTCCTTCGGAAAAACGCAGAGCATGTAGGTCTAAACACATTATAAGGCAACACAAACATTACTATTCTTTTCATTACGTGCAAAATATTGAGATTATAACTTAAAAATTGATAATGATTGTATCTTTATTGTTTTCGTTTAACTTTCTTTTCTAAAAATCAAGTGAAACACACACACACACACACAAAAAAAAAAAAAAAAAAAAACAGAAAAGCACTAATCTTCACATTTGCCTTCGGGGTTCCCTCACTTCGACCACCGACCAGCTTGGTTCCACCTTTGCCTGGCCGGAACACCTCCTAACCTCAGATTAAGTCTAACCAAGATAGATTCTAAGATGAGATTCTTTGGTCTAACCAGGTCCTTCGCAACTTCTGCCTGCCAGCACTTTGGCAAAAGGCAACAAATCCTTGTTTTATAGTAGATGCTGATCAGTAGACAATGTTCTTTGTTTAATAATGATGAGAAATACATGAATGGATAATGCTAGCTAAGCTAAAGCTAAACTACAGAGTGAGTCTGGAAGAAAACTAAGAAAGCAGGGAGAAGGGAAAGATAGAAATTAAGGAAAATTGAGAGTTAAAGTTAGGGGAATGGATAAAGAAAAATTGCTGCAATTATAAATACAACTGAGGCTGTAGTCGAGTTCTGTCTACATGTTACATGATTGGCTGTAGGAACCTAAATGATTATGCATGGCGCTCGCTGATTGGTGGAAATGTTTTACTAGATCCCTCTGTTAGCTACCTTTTAAAAGAGTCGATTTACGATTGTAACGCTGTCGGAGCGAGTTACCATCTGAGCTGTAGGCTGACTCGGTTCTCGGTGGTGGGTACCATCCCTCGCCTTAACCATGGCCCAGACATATTCAATTTCTTGAGTGGATTCTTTTCCTCAACTATAGTTCGGCGCCTCGGCTGCATGACTGGATGTCCACATGCTTTGAAGAAGTGTTCTTTGTTCTTCCATTCATTGTTTTATTTACTTGTGTTCGTGTATAAACTAACATTTATGCATGCATATACAAAACCGTAAATACTGATAGAGATGGTCGTACTACTATTCAAAACACACACACACACACGTCCAAGGTCTAAATCAGTATTTTTTAACTGGTGGTCCATGGAACACAAATGGTCCGCGATGATTTTCTTGGGTGGTTCACGGAACGTACAGTTGAACACTATTGTTTGGTAATATACGTGACTAGCCCCCCTCTCCCCACTCCCGAAATATAAGAAAAGAGTTTTTTTTTTTTCTTCCGAAAAAAAATCACGAAAAAGGGGGTCCGTCCTGGTGATGCACTATAGTCACGCTATGTTGGATATTCCCATCACCCTGATTACAATTTTCTCTGATTCATTTAAATTTCATCACTAGCTACATCCACAGTCAACAGAAACAATTGACACTTCTCATATGCTTTCCTGCCTTTGAATCCAATAGCCATGTCCTTCGCCAAACTAACTGGCAATTTTAGTCGCAACTGAAATTTCGCCGTTTCTGGAACAGCAGAAGCATTTTCTGTTTCTTGCCCGATGATCTAGCTCAGTGTTGTCCAAACATTTTCGCCTATTGTACCCTTCATTACCTTCTTGTACCGTTGTATGTGTATGTGTGCGCGCGCACGCGCGTATATATATATATATATATATATATATATATATATATAATATATATATATATATATATATATATATATATAATATATATATATATATATATATATATATATATGTATATGTATGTATAACATGTAATATATATATATATATATATATATATATATATATATATATATATATGTATATGTGTGTGTGTGTGTGTGTGTGTGTGTGTGTATACATACACACACACACACACACACACACACACACAATATATATATATATATATATATATATACATATATACAAATATATATATATATATATATATATATATATATATATATATATTACAATACACTAACCTGTATAGTAATTGTTTTGCAATCATCAGTACCAGTGTATGATGGATGCATTTGTAAAGGACCAAAATGAAATTATAAATATTTCTGATAGTCATCAAGACCGGCATTTCATTTTTTTCTTTAGAAATGATATATAGCATTTCCAGTTACGTTTCTTTCGCACATCACTCGGAAGCAGGCATAAGAATCATACCTTAAAAAAGAGAAATTCAATGCAAATATCAGAAATAATATGAATAACAAAACAGCAATCATCATAAGCGAACATTTTCCGGTTGCGAATTCTAAGAACTCCCGGGAATCTCAAGAATTGACTAAAAAAAAAAAAAAAAAAAAAGGTTAGTCAACATGACAACATTACACTCACAAGCACACAGACACATTCAGAGAGAGAGAGGGAGAGGGAGAGAATTTAGGGGAAGGGATAAGACTAGTAAAAAAAGAAAAAAGAAAAAAAATATATATAAAATATATATATATATATATATATATATATATATATATATATATATATATATATATATATATATATATATATATATATATATATATAGGACAATATGCAGAACGAGGTAGTGCCTGAGTTGGGAGATAAAACCTATCCAAAATACAAGATCGATACAAAACAAATAACTTTTCTTCTATGGCTATATTTGTGCAAATGAGCCATAACGATATGATAACATGAAATGTAAAAAAAAATAAAAAATAAAATGTCGAAAAATCTACTCTATTTTGATAATTGGCAACTTTTTACCTCGCGTTTTTCCTGCAGGGGGCAATATTACTTCGCATTTTTTCCCTACAGGGGGCAGCACACTATACGCGGTATTTTCAAAATGTTGGCTGCCGTCTGGCGTAATGCGCTTATATTTCCTTCGTCTGTCTGTCTCTTTCTGTGTATATATATATATATATATATATATATATATATAATATATATATATATATATATACACATATACATACACACACACAACACACACACACACACACACACACACACACACACACACACACACACACACACACACACCATATATATATAATATATATATATATATATATATATATAATATATATTATATATATTTTTTTTTTTTTTTTTTTTTTTAATAAAGTAAGAAATGCACAATTAAGTCGTAACAATTTTACATACATTTCACTTGTACACTCGTCACTGTCGCGGAACTGTAATGGTAGCGATTTGCGGTCCTTCAGGCATTACAAGTGAAACAATGGCATTGTGCACAGGATGTGAACAAACTTTTGAACAAACTATTGCGAGATTCTATCAGCAGGACGATACTGCAATAGAGTTTTTTCAGTGCCACGGCGTTCTCCCGAAAAAGTTAATTTGTAAATCGTGCTTAAAAGAGTGCAATTTTGACAGTGAAAGAAACCGTTTCCACTGCAACAGACAATGCACAAATCCGAAGAACAAAAGAGTTAAAAAGTGTAACTATACTGTTTCAATATTTAAAGACACATGGTTGGAAAATGCCAAAATCAAACCGAATGAAAATCTAAGATTCTTGAATATATACTTACGACCAATTTTCTCTCAAAAATATTTAGAAGAAACTTTGGCTGGAGCCCACACACTGCGGTGGACTGGCGCTCCTTGCAAGTGAAGTGTGTGCCAGTGCCATAAAGAATTTCGGGGGCCTTCTCGGCGAGGGGGGGAGAGTCGTCGAGTGCGACGAAAGTTATTTTGGAGGAGGAAAATTTAATCGTGGCCGAAAGGCATTTAAAGGCTTTTGGGTATTTGGAGCATATGAGCGTGGCACCAAAAAAGTATATTTTACAAAAGTAAAAAATAGAAATTCAAAAACATTATCCAAAATTATAAAAGAACATATTTGCCCTGGTGCCACAGTCTACACTGACCAGTGGAGAGGATACAATGCATTGAATAAACTGGGC